AACGATACATGTTTCATTCTGTTTTTAAAATACTTTTTCCAGCTCATTGTTTCTTGTGCTGGAATTGAACCTGGCACAGTTACGAAGCTCATTCGCAACACATAGCATCCGTACATTTAAAAAAAAAATAGTAATGATACTAATTACAATAAATTTAAGGGGAATCAACAATGTGCTTAGGACACTGCTATCGTCGAAGGAGGCATGTTGTCTGTAAGGAGATAATATTCAAATAGTTTCCTATTGTCTGTACAGGAGTTGTTGATATTTTTGACTGGCTAACTGCAGAACACGCTAAGCTTGTGTTGTGCAGGTCTTGTCCTAGGTTCCAAGGTTTGGGGATGTATAATAAGTCTCGGCGTTTGCTATATCTTTCATTATACTTCAACAACACTAGAGCTAGTTTGGTGCATTTTGGGATCAGATTTTACGAATAAGTTTAACTTTTTAAAAAAGCTGTCGTTTATGGGACTGTAATAATTTAAGACCTTTATATGTATATACTGCGACTGTCTCTTTCCTGGTTATTACTTACTAAGCGTACATCTCTTTTTTTTTTTTTTTTTTTTTTTTTTGAAGTGCTGTAAGCGCCTTGATGACGAAACTGGAGCAACCATCCCATAATGTTGTAGTCTAGATTTCTCTGAATAGGAAACATAAGAAGACTGCTGTCTGTGTTTCTCTGCCTGCAGCATTTATGCTGAGATTGTCAAAACCATAGTCCAGAAGTAACATGAGAATTGTCAAGATTCCACTGATTGTGTTTTGTTCTCGTCTACTTTATTTCTGTTTCACATCCCACCCCAATTAGTTTGTGAATGTGTTAAGCTGCTAATTGGATGACGTTTTTATTTACAGTTTTCTTGTTTCTTATTTATTCTGGGAATCGTTTTCCTAATACCTATTGATTATAAAATACCAACATGTTAATTAATTAGTTTAACATTGGAGTTTATTTTTAGTTAATACTCGTAATTTGAATTATGATTACCGTCGCTCTTACACACACACACACACACACACACACACACACACACACACACACACATAAATATAAACATATGTGTGTGTGAGCTTGCGTGTGTGTTTGGAGTGTATTTTGTATACTGTCGATTCACATTATTTGCATTGCGTCAATATTAACAAGTAAAACTGTATCTAATGTAAGTTAAAAGGTACGTCATATTATTACACCCTGTATCACTCAGATAATTGTTTTTGTTCAATTGAAAAAAAAAAACGTTATATGTGTCATGCCAACTGGCACGGCGATTGGGCTTCTCGGCATCTATTGATTCCGGTCGTTAACATTTTTGTATTTCGTCATGTGGATACATTTTCCAAGATGCAGCAGTATTTTTGGACGAATTTCCGAAACCCCCAGGAACAAAAATTAGAACGTTGCTAATATTTAATCTGTGCAGAGCAACTTTTTTAGGACACCCTCGGATGTACGGTCTTTTTAAGAAATCGGTAATGAACAGTTATGTCACAGTGAGAACAGTTTCCTCATCTCGGATGTGTGGACTTAATATACACATCTGTTATTATAATGCACACAGGATCGACGTCAGCAGGGGCATCGGAGACCCGGGGACCCTGAGACTCCCATCTCAGCACCGTAAATGTATTCTAGAGTGGGGCTAAGTCCACTCCCCGCCTGACTGACTGACTTTTTTCCCCATCAGGACATCACACAGAGCGATAAACACCTAGTGACATAAAGTGTAACCAGTCGGATGAGGATCACCAGTAGAGAGGTCCAGGAAACCCGGTTCAACCGTTAGGTTCTATCAGGACCCGCGGCAACAACCAAGGTGGGGCTTCATAATAACGAAAAATTCGTCCCAAATGGGGGCAGGGATAACTTTCTCTTCTTGGCCTAGACCAGTGATTCTCAAACTGTGCGCCGCGATGCCCCGGTGGCCGCGATCTCTTCATAGGGGCGTTGCGAAATATTAAAAGATACACCAGTTTTATTTTTTATTTTAACTTTTACACACGAATAGTCATACTTTTACATAAGTTAGGGCGCCGTGAGAAAAATTGTAATTGAAAAAAGGAGCCGCGACTAAGACAAGTTTGGGAAACACTGGCCTAGACAATTAATAAAGGGACTAACCAGCCGCCTTTATGATAAAAATTAAATGGGATGAGTTAAAAAGGAGTGAAAAAAATAGGAGCCATGTCTGGACAACCACTGGTATCAACAGTTACAAAGAGAAGATGGCGCTACACTGGACACATCCTGAAAAGAAATCAGCAGAGAATCACCAAACAGGCATTAAAATGGGAAATAAAGAAGTTAAGGAGGCGAGGACGCCCAAAAGGAACCCCGAGACGAACGTTGATGAGAGACGCCAAGCTGCTGGACTGGGTTGCATCCATGATATTGAACTGACTACACTCGATAGAACGGAATGGAGAAATAGACTGCCAGCCTTATTTGACATATAATGGCACAACAGGATATTGAGTGAATGAATGAATGAATGAATGAATGAATGAATGAATGAATGAATGAATGAATGAATGAATGAATGAATGAATGAATGAATGAATGAATGAATGAACCAGCCCTTTAATAGTGTATAGAAGCTCACTGTTCAAGTATTTGTTTATACACTTCATACTATTGTAAATATATTTTTTTGCTATTCAGCACATTATTATTATTAATATTATTATTACGCCCTCAAACAACGCTTAACCACCTCTTTAGCCACCACTTCCCAAAATGTCATGGGGGCTGAGTGGCTCCACCCCTAATGTTTTCTTTCTGTCAGCGGCCCTATGTATCAGATCACCCAAACAACGAAAAGAGCACGAGCTAGCAACTGCAATCAATGAAATACGAGAAATCTACATTGATTGTAATGCACCAAGACCGACTTGGTAACACGCCGCTGCAATGCTTGGTACATTCCATAAAAACTTTCAGATTGCTTACTGGCTATGTTCATATAATACAGTGGCTCTCAACCTTCCTAATGCCGCGACCCATTTACTGCAGTTCCTCGTGTTGGGGCAACCCCGAACCATACAATTATTTTCATTGCTACTTCAAAACTTCAATGAATGTGTGTTTCCCCATGGTCTTTGGCGATCCCTGAGAACGAGTCGATCGACCCAAAAAAGGGTCGCGATCCACAGGTTGAGAACCGCTGATTTAATACAATATATTTGTCAATCCAATTTTATAGTCATTCATCACAACTGTTGATTTTCTTTTAGTAGTAAGGGAAAATGTAAAGGATTCTTTTCTACATTACTGGCATAACAGGATATGACCCAGACTTAAATTTTCATACTCACTTGTTAGGTGCTTTGGTCAACATCTCACTGGCCACTATTACCTTCCTTACTACTTGATTAAAATTAGTTGCGAATCCATTACAGGTCGTTGCAGAACCAACCCCGGCATTTTTTTTTGGCTGTTGGGGTTTTTCTAGTCAAATGTTATGTTCATTAGTTTACTATCGCTTACTGAACGGTCAGCTCTCGGTACCACTGTCGAAACCAATGCAAGAAAAACCGTCCGTAGGTGGGATCGAACCCGGCACCTCGGCATCGTTCGTAATGCCTAAGCCAAAAACGCCGACTATCACTTAGAAGCCATTTTAATTTGATCTACCCCAAAGGGGTCGCGACCCATAGGTTGAGGAACGCTGGCCTAGGGCGACATCCTGCTTGTTCATATGTAACACATGTGTTGGTTGTTATTGTGGTTGTATTCTGAGGAGATGACCAAACTATTTGAACTTCTGTTACTCAATTAATTTGGTGCATGGTGTTGTTCTCGCAGTCTGTCTGATAGAATCAATTCTCACAATGTCACGGATGGTTTAGTTGGCGGCCCTCCTCAGGTATCTCATTCCACAGGTGTTGATTTTGAATAAGTTGTCTCTGATCCTGTCCAAGCTTGGCACTGGTAGCACCGTGTTGATATGATTATGCTGTTTGCTTTGTAATATGTTTCTTGACGGTCATATTTATGTTTTTATGTCTCAGTAACAGCTTTAATTAATATACACGTGCACTGGCTCGATGACACTTGTTTTTTTTTAAAATATATATTGTCTACCTTTCTTCTGATGGTGTACTTTGACAGTTTTTTTTTTTAATCTTCAAGGTTGTTAATCCCAAAATAATTTAATATGAAAACATGTTGCCTTAAAATGGTGTTTGGAACCGATTGAATAGAGTTCTATCCTATATGGCTCAGCCACTTTTCATAAAGTGGGTGTTCTCCTACCGAAAGCATTACAAAAAGCAGGAGACTCCGAAGCTTCAGCACCGACCCCACATACATTTCAAAATCTGCCTCAGTGGAGATCTAACCCCATGGTCTCTTGGCCATCAGGCAAGCATGTAGTTACTGCGATTTCTCACCCTCTATCTTTCTCTCTCTCTCTCTCTCTCTCTCTCTCTCTCTCTCTCTCTCTCTCTCTCTCTCTCTCTCTCTGTCTGTCTCTATGTGTATGTGTATGTTTGTCCGTATGTATGTTTTTTAGACTGAATGTATGTAATATGTATGTAAGTGTTTTGTTTGTGTGTGTGTGTGTGTGTGTGTGTGTGTGTGTGTAAGTATGTATATAATATGTATGTTTGTATTTCTGTGTACGTAATTGTTTGTGTATGTATTTGTGTGTAAGAAAAAGTAAAGTAGAGGTCCCTTTTCCAGGCCTTCTGGCGTATAGGGCATATAGGGCTAGACCTATATTTTATAGGCAATCGGCACAAGTTGGGTGATGTGGTCAGCACCACGCCATCCGCCTTTACTTTCCGAGACTGCACCAGGCACCCATTCAGGGCTGGGTCGACTTGGGAGCCTAGGTCATTTTTGAAAAAAGTCCGACTCCGCCAGGGTGCGAACCCACGACGAACGTCTAGCCTCTCCGCCACGGCGACTGGCTGTGTATGTGTGTACTGTACATGTAAACATCTGTCATGCCCCATGCTCACACCTCACCATCATTATATCACCAGAACCACACACAATGACAGCCCTGAACAGAATCCAGATGCCCCTGAAGCAGGCAGCAACCAGCCTGTCGTACTGTCTGAGGGCACACTCCACCAGGGCAGCAACCGCCGTGGGCCCGGCCAAGATTGGGCGGCCTTCTGAGGAAGTGTTTGCCCGAGAGGACAAATATGGCGCTCACAACTATCATCCGCTACCAGTGGCCATTCACAGAGGAAAAGGTAAGGCTTGTGTATTTGAGTGTGCGTGTGTGGTTAACAGTGGTTTAAACTCGACTCGCGCGACTTGGACTCCGGTCTGGCTTTAAAAAAAAAAAAAAGAAATTAATGTGACAACTTCAAAGTGTTCTGTATGTTTTTTAAATCACAATAGGGCAGGTATAGAAATCGTATGCATTCTTCTTCTGCGCTCATCTATAGATGTAATTGCGTTGTATTCATTTACAGCCTAGCTACGACAGTTGCCTCTTTTCGGCCGATACATCCGACTTCTGCAGGCATTTTATGACCGGATTAGCCTTCCCAGGTGTGCATTTAATTCAGCTATTTACAAATATACACGATATACATGCGATACACGACTTGTCACTGACTTGATACATGAAGTGACTTGACTCGGGTCACAACTCGGAAGCATTCTTGCTGACTTGAGACTTGACCTTGGACTTATCGGTAGTGACTTGGGACTCGATTTGGACTTGAAGGGAGACGACTTAGTCCAACCTCTGGTTGGTTGAATGGATGTAACAATCGCTCATCGCATTCCAGATATAGGCTACTGATGTTTGTAGAGGTACTGGTTGTTTATATTTGCACAGCTTCGAATGTTATAGGTAACGTACTGGCTGTGTGTGCCTGTGTTTGTAGTTCAACTGTTGTCACGGCATTATTAAGTTGTTGTTGGCAACATGGTCAGTGTAAATGTGCCACTGATTTATGAACCAATAAAAGCGATGTTGGTGGCTAGCACTGTTCCATCGCACACGGGGACTTTTCATTGGCTTCTGCAAAAGCGTGAAGCGTGCACAGATGCCACTGCTTGATTTGTTTATTGTAAGCATCTAAGCGAGGAAAAAAAAGCTTGGTTGTTTCGAAATGGTGTGACCGGTGGATGCCTTGGAACACTCAATGACGGCAGGCTGGGCAACTAGATAAACAGCAAGGAAACGGCTTAAGGCAGCACAGACACAGGTGGCAGAAATACGGGCGTATGGATACGCTACAATGAAAAAAAAAAAAAATTGGAAATCCCAAACAAGAATACACAGTCCCAACATAACCGCCGCTCACCTTAGGAGCTGGTTAGGGAGACTAGAACTTTTTTTTTTTTTTAACGAACGAATACGAATAAATTTACGCACTTGTTTTACGCAAGATTGTATATATTCCCTCACCCTCTCCATTATGATGATAAATATAAAAGTCCTATACTTCTCATGCACCAATCGTATTGCCAAGTATTAACCGCATTGCGCGCCGAAGGTTGTGAATTCAAATCTGGACGGAGCCCTTCTGTGTTTAAAACTGCCGTCGGTTCCCAGGTCGACCCAACTTTAAATAGTAACCTGGTGAAGTCTTAAGTAAAGACGACCAGCGTTATGTTGACCACATCACCCACTAAGTATCGATTGGCCTATAACATACAGGTCTAGGTCTATGTGACCAAAACGTCTGAAGTCGTGGAAAAGGGACCGTTACTTGTTCTGATCAATTCACTACAATAACTGATAACAAGGGAAGTAAACGCATAACGTTGGTTTTATAACATAATGCGAGTTGTCTCCAAAGGCTTACATATTTATCACTACGGTCTGGAGAGAATGACCCGGAAGTGATCATAGGATCTAACCTAAGCTAAACACTCAAAGGACTCGATTCCATTCGATTCGTAGAAAACAAAATTTCAAACTTGATCCTCTTTCATCGGCCTCATGGCTTGTTATATCGATGAAGGTTCCTTTGTTATCTGAGTTTGAATTTAGTTTTTCGTTTTTTTTTTTTTTTTTTGACGGCGAACAATTTCGCCTAAGTATTTGGTTTAAATGCTCCGGCTGCTCCTTGTCTGGCATGGTTACGATCGGCAAGCTTTGGCTTCTCCTGATTGGGTGATGTTACTGGAGGAAGCGCGGACCGACATTGATTCAGACTGCAAGTGGTACCATCAGTATTGAAGCTTTGTGGTCGTCTCTAAGGACCGGAGACTAAGCACTTTTACAATATCCCCTGTGCTGTTATGTCGATACGTAACTTCTCTCAGTTCTGCTTGAGCGGTTTACTAGAATTCCAGTACAGTAAAACAGCATTAACACGAACTCGTTCAAGGAGGACACTCGGTTAAGATGAACGCAATTTAGTTTCCTGCAGTGATGTCCTAGTTTAACATGAATTGTTGTAACATGAACTCTTGATTTGTGTATGTCCTTTGGAATTCGTGTTAACCTGCTTCTCTTGTATTCACATTTGTGTTTTTAAGGTGCACTAAAGGTTAAAATAATTTACAATTCTTTTGGTCTTTTCCCCTTTTCAACAGGCGTTTTTGTGTGGGATGTGGAAGGAAACAAGTACTACGACTTCCTCAGCGCCTACAGCGCCCTCAACCAGGGACACTGCCACCCTAGAATTATCGAGGCGCTCAAGAAACAAGTGGACATCGTCACTCTGACTTCGCGAGCTTTCTACAACACCTGTCTTGGGGAGTACGAGGAGTACATTACAAAGCTGTTTGGTTATGATAAAGTGCTGCCAATGAACACAGGTAGGATGTTGTAAATATAAGTTTTCCCCCACTTAGAAAACGAAAAAACTGATGTCCATTTACAGCAGGGCTTTTCAAACCTTGTCAATCGTCGCACTATTGAATTTATACCAAGACCCTCACACCCTGCCTAAAGCAAAATGTGACTTTAAAAACAAAAGGACACAAAGAAAAATTTCAATCGCTATTACCTCTTTCAGCTCCCGAAGGTCCTACCTAATATCCGAGAGAGGAAAGAATGACAACACTTAACTCATGGGCAAACTACTTCCAAGGGGACTCCATACCCAATCATTGAAGGAAAGATTTTTTTTTGGGGGGGGGGGGGGGGGGGGGGGGGGTGGGGTGGGGTGGGGAGGGGGGGGGGGGGTAAAAAACCCTTGACTAAACTAGTCTAACTTAGTGAGTGATATACATGAATAATATCCAATCACACTTGATGCCTTGATTAGGCAGAAGGAGTCAACAAGAACTAGGGGGAAAAAAACCATGAACATAAATTGTTGAATAATGTAAAATAAACAGCTTCCCAACAAATGCTAATTTAGTGTCAACATATGAATGTGATCATTGACACTTTTGTCTTGACGAATCTATTATTTTTGGTTGTACAAGGCACAACGGGGATCACTTTCCCATTCAAGCTCTGTTGTGTTTTTATCACTGTGAATTTCAATTTACAATTAAACGGGGTGGGGGTGGGGTGGGGGATGAGTATAACAGATATTGCAAGTACAAATGCACCCAATTTCAAGAATGTTGGAGCATCACTGTAGCCAACCTTCATAGAGGAGATGGCACCTGGCTAATTGATTAGGCCAAGATAACCTACCATGCATATGTAAGAGGCGACCAATGGTTGGCAAGAGTCGAGCTATCGCATCTGGTAGAAGACTTTAGCTACAAATCCCAGCCAGTCATAAACAAGTTTGCCCAAAACTTAGCTTGAGTTGACTATACCCCTATTTTCCGTTTTGGGAAAGGAAATGCAGGAAAAAAAAAAGTAAAGTCGATTAAGTCACTTTCGCCATACATTTTGTCTGTCGTCGATTTCATAACTGTTACACATCGACACATCATTCTTCTTCTTCAATTCCACCATTTACCTCAGCGAAGTGTTGGGGGAGATGTAAGGTTCGTTTGTGCGCTTTTTCCAATGCATTGGACAAGTTGGTGTTCATTTATGTTCAGTTGCTCCTGATGTTGTCGCAGCATCTCTTGCATGGTCTTCCCGTTGCTCTGTGTTCATTATATTTCTTCATCTTGGCTCTGTGTGGCAGTTGGTACCAGTTCATTCTCGTCAGGTGACCAAATCATCTCAAGTGTTGTTCTTTAAGGAATCGTATGACTGATTTCAGTCCCAGTGTTTCATGTTTCTTAATCCAGATAATGAATTGCCTCTTTGTAATATATTGCATTTAGAGTTAGCTTTAATAAAAACAATTTGTTTGTTTATCATATCAGGCGTAGAAGCTGGTGAAACAGCGCTGAAGCTGGCCAGAAAATGGGGTTACAAAGTGAAAAAAATCCCTGACAATCAAGCTCGCATTATTTTTGTGGAAGGAAACTTCTGGGGCCGGACACTGGCCGCTGTGTCCTCGTCAACTGACCCGTCCAGTTACGGAGGTTTTGGTCCCTTTATGCCTGGCTTTTCTGTGATTCCTTACAATAATATCAGTGCTCTAGAGGTGAGTTGAGTTTAAGTTGAATCTTTCTTCGTCATGTTAAGTTATAGGACATGTTGCTGTCTTACAAGGGTGCCAACATACAGACGAGCTAGATGGCTTAGTCCTTTCAACATTGTCTAGGGAATTAGTTAGTTGCCTATCCTTTAAAAGACATTGCAGAACCAACCCCAACTTTTTTGGCTGCTGTGGTTTTTTTGTAGGCACAATTTACGTTTAGTAGTTTGGCAATGCCTTACTGAACGGTCAGCTCTCTGTAGTACTGCCGAAACCAAGGCAAGACAAATCGTCTGCAGCTGGGATCGAACCAAGCACCCCGGCATTACGAAGCACGTTCGCAAACTACAGACAGGAAGTAGGGTATTTAAAAAAAAAACATTACCAGAAGCACTTGAGCATAGCTCATTTGGCTCAGTATTTCGAGCATGGAACCCTCCAGCCTTGTGGGGGGGGGGGGGGGGGAACGGGGGGGGGGGGGGGGGGGGTGGAAGATTAATATATCCGAACAGTTGAACCTGGTTTCTGGGACTTGCGCCGGGGTGATTCTCATCTGAAAAGTGGCACTTTATGTCATCGAGTGTTTATCGCTCGTTGTGCGGTTCTGTTGAGGTTGAACGTCAGTTACTTAACGAGGAAGACATCCCCTCAGTACGCACACACTCTTAGCTACATGTTACTTCGTTCACAGTTTTGTGGTGCACCTGTATAACCGCTATACGGCTACTGTAATAGACACATTATGGTGAGATTTTTATAGCAACTTTACGGTGAGCACCGACACCTTGCTTTTTTTTTCTCTAGAAGCCGTGGATATTACTGTATGTTATAGAACCATGCACACACACACACACACACACACACACACACACACACACACACAAGTACGCACATCATCATCATACTGTTGTGTTATTTATACGCAAGTCTACTACTTCATGCTGTTCTATTGCAGTCTTTTTCAACACACACACATATATACACAGACATACACTCTCACACACACACAACGAGAGAGAGAGAGAGAGAGAGAGAGAGAGAGAGAGAGAGAGAGAGAGGGGGGGGGAGAGAGAAACTCACAGATTGCTCAAATCAGCATAACTGGATCGAGCAAGAAACTTAAAATATTAGTATTACATACCACATTGTAACGGCCGGGTATCACAATATAGCTAAGATTTACAAATGAATGGCGAAGCTGTGATTTTCTCATTTTATTCGAATCTGAATAATGACTCTTTGGATAGCTCGGTGTCTGTCTCTGGTGAGAATCTCGGGGGATAATGGGGGGCGGGGGGGGGGGGGGGAAATAATAAATTGAATTCAAGAAAATAACTTGATGTTCCTACGCAGCGTTTTCATCCTGCAAATGTAATAAATGTAACAGCACATTTCCCGTTTCTAATCGACAGAAAGAACTCCAAGACCCCAATGTCTGTGCTTTTATGTTCGAGCCCATTCAAGGCGAGGCAGGAGTCTTTGTGCCTGATGATGGGTATTTGCAGAAAGTGCGAGAAGCGTGCACGAAGAACAACGTTCTAATGGTTGCTGATGAGGTGCAGACAGGGCTGGGCAGAACTGGCCGGTGAGTGATCGGCGACCCTAGGGGACACAATCTGTTGTTTGTTAACGTTTAAATAATAATCTTTTGTAATGTTTAATATTGCTTTAGGTTATATTTCGGGTTAGCTATAAATCTAACCCTAACCACAAACAATATTAAATAATTAAAGTAAATTATTTTGTAAACTTATATAAGCAATTAATTACATCCCCTAGTGTCAGCATTTAAAGTATTATCAATTTTAACAGTTTAAGTCCCTTAGGGTCGCTGTTTTGAGTATTGCCTATCTTTTTATTACAAATGTAAATAACCCGTCATCCCCTTGTGGGATGCAATTTTTAGTTATTTTGAAGCCCACCCTGACTTTAGCTGGCAGCCATAAATATAGCTAGGCCTGAAATATAGCCTAGCGGCTGAACGGGCGATCCTTACAGATCTTAGGAAATACTTACACTCGTGATCTGAATGACGCTATATAAAATTGACCTCAAGATCTTTGAGCGAATTGCGAACGTTTATATTGCTTTCCTGCACACGCGTTCTTATGTGTGTGTGTTGTGTGCCTGTATATGTGTGTGTGTGTGCCTGTCTGTATGTATATCATCGTACATGCTAGTGTCAAGACACTTGATAATTAATTACGGTACACATGCAAAGACACAGGATATGATCTCCCATACGTATGCATTCACACACTCAAACATACCTACCTTCTTGCGCGTTCACACATGCCATTAATTAATTAATATATTTATTTAATTATTGATTGACTGACATGCATATTTCCCTTTCAGACGACTGGCTTGTGACCACGAGAATGTGCGTCCAGATATTGTTGTTCTGGGAAAAGCCTTATCTGGAGGATTGTTGCCGGTAAACCTTGTTTTTTGTTTAGTTCATCTTTAAAAACATTTTCTGTTTGTACATACCGTCTATGAGTCTTACATAGAACGCTACACAAAATAAGGCTGTATGTGCTAAGTGCTTTTACACGTTTTCTTCTTCTTCTTTCGCTCGCTTGAAATAAATTATCTTTGTCTGCAATGTTGTCTCTAGTATAAACTTCAGTGTCTTTTGTAATTCACTCAGCGACCCGTAAAGTTTGACTTGCACCGTTTTGCCTTGATATGTTGGTTTTACACGTTATGTGAGCCAGATAAAGAGTTACTGGTAATTGTGTGTCCGCTACCAGGTTGGTTGAAATCTGCCTGTTCTTCTGTGAACCATGTATTCCATTGTTGGCAATTTTAAAGCATAGAATACTTAACAGTGATATGTACATTCTTTGGTTTCTCATACAATAAATAGCATTTTTGTGTGTGAAACCTTGTGTTCAATCTATCGTTTCTCATACAACACATAGATCCTTGTATGTGAAACTGTGATGCACACCTTCTGTGGTTTCTCACTCAATACATAACGCGCTAGCTAAAGTAACTGTAAATTACATTTATATGGTTTTCATTAAAATATGTAACAATTCCTGTATATGTGGTAGTGATGTGTACACTAAGGGGTTTCTCACACCAAACAGAACTTCGTTTCAGGTGTCCGCTGTGTTGGCAGACGATGAAATCATGCTGACGATTCTTCCCGGAGAGCACGGCTCCACTTTTGGCGGTAATCCCCTGGCTTGTAAAGTTGCCATGGAGTCTCTCAGGGTATGTATGACTTTTGCTGCAAAATTATTTATTTAACCAATACAGGAAACAGAAGAACGCGTAATTATGCTTACACTAAATACAGTCGGTACAGTAATGTAGAAGATATATGTCGATGCCTGATTCAGTGATACCTGAGTCAGTGATACCTGAGTCAGTGATACCTGAGTCAGTGATGCCTGAGTCAGTGATGCCTGAGTCAGTGATGCCTGAGTCGGTGATGCCTGAGTCAGTGATACCTGAGTCAGTGATGCCTGAGTCAGTGATACCTGAGTCAGTGATACCTGAGTCAGTGATGCCTGAGTCAGTGATACCTGAGTCGGTGATGCCTGAGTCGGTGATGCCTGAATCAGTGATGCCTGAGTCAGTGATGCCTGAGTCAGTGATGCCTGAGTCAGTGATGCCTGAGTCGGTGACACCTGAATCAGTGATGCCTGAGTCAGTGATGCCTGAGTCAGTGATGCCTGAGTCAGTGATGCCTGAGTCTATAAGTGAAGTTTAACCCCCCTAGGGCCGCATACTGATCGAGAAATACCCAGCAACCTAAAAAGTAACCATTTGGATGAGAATCCCTTATTTACATATCCTAGAAACCCCTTCAAACCTAAGATTATACTTAGGGACAGCGACGGATGCTAAAAAATAGCTTATCATTACACCTCACAAAGCGCTCTCAAAATGCTGATGTGATCAAAGGAGACAGACACACATTTGTCGGGACCTCTCCACGGCTGATTCTCATCCGCATGGTGACACTTTTGTGTGACCGCGTGTTTATCGCTTGTGTGGTGTCCTGGTGGGGTACAACTTACCTACCTTACCTATACTTTCGAAGACTTCCACCATACTGAGAAATCTAGCGCACGGTCCAGCCTATACTGTTCTGACTGAATAGCCTCTGTTTTAAATATGCATTCGAATTGTCTTCCAGTGTTCCTCTGCCACCTGCTAACAAAAGTCCAACATGTGTCCGGTAAACCAAACGTTAGCTTGTCGCTCGGTCGTCCAGGCATGCTGACTGTTCTAATTAGGCTGCCGCAACGACTTCTTATCTCACAGTACCTTCTGCGAAACAACCAAGTCGTCTTGTCCCTATCCGAAAGAAAAACACCACCCGGTAATCTCGTACAGCAAGGTACCAGCCCTGAGCTTCATGAACTCAGGTGGGCCCACCTCCGAAAGTGTCTAGGAATCGTGGGCCGAAACACTTGTCGACGAAGATAATTTCTACTGATGACTGGTAGATCCCTGCTGTACTTGCTCCCTGTGAGTTTATTCCTATGCATCACTGTAGGTAATATCATTGTAGGACAGAACAAGGCACTGATCAGGTTAAATGGACCCAAATGGCTCCTCAGAAAAAGCATTATATTCAAGGTCCATTGCATGCTTGCAGTCCCAGAGGATAATGGATAATGACCAAGTCTATGCTCAAATTTTTTTAAAAAAGCATTTTCCTGTTCTAAGCGATTGTTACACAGTACTTGTGAGTTTGGTATGTTGCCTTCCATTTGATTAAATATTCATTACCTCTCATTGACCATAATATTACCACAGAACGATTGTAAAATTCGGTACCACGGAGAAGTAACCTGTGTCTAATACATGTCTAAAGCAGAAAGGCTTCAGAAAGTGGTTATCACACGGGGTAACAGGAATTAGCGGTTGCTTGATACTGCCTCCAATTTAGTATAATTGTCCTACTTGTTTATTAAAAGTAAAAGATTATTTTTGATAGAGTGCTTGCTAAAATAATGATATATTCTGTAGGTGCTAGAAGAAGAGAAACTGGCAGACAATGCACAGAAACTGGGTGTCATTTTGCGCCGAGAACTGAGCAAACTGCCCAAAGACATCGTGAAGATTGTCCGCGGAAAAGGTCTTCTGGATGCTATTGTCATTGACAGCCGTGAGTAGTGTAAAGTCAGCCGTGTTGTGTTTGTGTCTATTCTATTCTTTTGCGCTTTGTCTCTCACGGGACCAACAGCCCTCACAGAACTTCAGCCAAGCTGTTCTATCTGCTGCTATCAACTGTATGCTCACCTGGTATTGATTGGCACCTCTCTGTCTTTCCAGACTTTGAGGAGGCATGAGATTTACAGCCCATGGCGATGGCGAGTGTGACTAGCAAGACCGGCCTGCGTTAAGAAAAGTCTTCCACTATTATAGCATGGGATTTCAGGACCCTTGTTGTCAACAGTTGTGTTTAGTCTGTTTCTTCTCAAACGCTCAGCTCTCATCCTTGCTGCAATCATTTCTTCCATCATTCTCACTTCCTTCCTGATGTGCCCCCTCCACACAACACGGTCTATGACATTTCGTTCCCTCGAGTCACCCTCTATACCTGTATCATTC